ACTGGACTGATGGCACATAATCGAATAATAATCAAATATCAGTTTCTAATAGATGTATATCCATCATGTCCACAATCTTTTTTTAAAAAGCTCAGTATCAAATATAATGTTCTGTCTCCATTTTGCTGTTGAACGTGGAATAAATCATGGCAACCAAAAATTCTAACTGGATTTCAAATCTCTGAATTCCTAGCATGACCACTCATTCAATGAACATTCAAAATCATAATGGCAACGAACAAGGTGGACATACGACTGGCTTGAAAAGTTACATATGTTGCAGTATCTCCGTAGTCACGTGATCACTATTTGCAATCTTCCCTGCCAACCTCCCGTAAGCAAAGTCAATGGAGAAGCCAGAAGGGAACGCCCAAGTCACTTCCATAAGTCGCTCCCACTGCTTTTTCTCCCAAGAAGCTCCAAAGTCCCAGGGATCTCCTACTCCAAAACAACACCCCCTCCGTACTGTGCACCTGCATGCAGCACCCCTTCGCCCACCTGAAATCATGTATTTCACACCCATTCACAGCCCCTGTTGGCCTTCCTGCACTTGCCAGCACCAGCCTGCAACCCCTGTAATAAAAATAATAAAATTATTTGAATCTCTAATTTAGTTTCAAAAAATTCTAATTCAAGGATAGACCTCCCCAACAAGAAAAAAATTCTATTGTTACATAGTAAGTATGGATTTATTATATAATTATATGTTATAATTCTTTTGGCCATTCCTCAAGTCAGTTTTCACATTATATGCTCCTGTAAATCTCAGCTTTTCAGACATTAACCTTTATTCAAAATTTGGTTTACTTGGCAGGCATTTCATAGACACAACTTGCTATTAAACAGACTTGCTATTGTACAAAAAAGCTAGAACATTTTGTATTTATATACATACAGTGATTGAGAGGATTTTAAAAATTAATATACAATTGAGACCAGAAGTTTTGGGATTGAGAAGCAGTTGGGAAAAAGTCATGGAACTTAGTTTTTGTATATGATAACTGCAGCAAGATTATTCTATATACAATGATGGAAAGATTGGGCATTACTCATGATGGAGGAATGGTTGGTGAGATGATAGAACTTACTAAGATGGCCAAATTCATTTCTTTGATTAGAGAAAATATAGTGTCTATATTAGGGTTCCTTGGTGTTTTCTGAGCTTGGTTGTTTTCTTGCAGATATTTCATTGCCCAAACTTTCCCTTTATTAATATCTACATTAATTACTGACTGGTAACCCCTTATGGTAAAAAAAAAAGAAAGTATGATTTGTGGTTTTTATGATTAGATAGGATAGACAGAAAAAGAGAGTCATGCTGTAACTATAGAGTAAGAGGTGAATTTGTGCTTAGAACTGCTATAAAAAAGATCAGAAGCCACATCTTTGTACCTTTTCTATTTTTCTATTATTATTTTTCTTTCTTGTACTTTTAGCTTTTAATTTCTTTCTTTATATGAATTGGTATTAGTTTTTTCCTTCTATTTAATTTTTAAATATAATTTTATATAAACAAGGAAAAAACATTTCCACCCACAAATTATGAAAGAGAACAAGCACAAACTTTTGCCAAGCATGAAAAAGATATAAAATTGAATTGCATGTATAGTTATAAAAGCTTCTTGTATCTCATGATAACTCATTTTCTCCACCAAATAAATCTCAGGCAAAAACTGTAATACCCTGTTTCCCCGAAAATAAGACATCTCCTGATAATAAGCCCAATCAGGCTTTTGAACGCATGCGCTAAAATAAGCCTGCCCCCCCAAATAAGCCCTTCCTGAAAATATTTAAATGCAGAGCTGGAAATCAGGTAAGATGGCAAGAGAAGCCCCATCTTGCTCCACCTGACCCAAAATAATAAGACCTCCCCAAAAATAAGGCCAAAAGCTTATTTCGGGGTTAAAAAAAATATAAGACAGGGTCTTATTTTCGGGAAAACATGGTAGATTCATAGCCAAGACCAAAACAATGTAATAAATATGTTTAGGCATATATTTACATGTGGATAGAAATAGTTTTCCGGCTCATCTAGAGATGTTTACAGGTGATATGTACTTGAATGAAAATCTGGATATGTATAACATGAAAATTACTACAATTCATCCACACCAGAAGAAACAGGTTAAAAACATTACACATATACACAGTGATGTTTGCTTTCTCTTATTCTAAAATATGCTGTTTCCCAAGTAGCCAATTTTTCATAAGCCCAATTACTTGTAATCTTTTTCTCCCACTATCAAGAATATCATTTGTTTCTTTATTGTAGTAGATAAAACATCCTTTCATTGTTTCAGATCACAAGCTGTGCAGATACTACCCACTGTTCTTGCCTCTAGCACTTCACATTATTGGTGTATTATTTCATGCATGCCCTGCTCTTTTATCAATTGCTTTTGAAGTAATGTTAATAGACTAGAAAATTGAGACATTTATGAAGTATAGGCAGTGTTTATGAAAAAATCCATAAAATATGACACAGGCAAGACAAGATAAAAGCAGCATTTTAATAGATTATGGCAAAGGGATTCTGTCACAAGTTGACAACTGACTCCTCCGAGATTGCTAATTTTTATGGGATTAATTTTGTGGTATTAAGAAAGAAGCTAAATGTCCTAATTAACCTGTAAATAGCGTATACACGAAATTAAACCTTGTGGCCTCTTGTTAGTTTTTTGGCTTCAGCATGTTAGGCAGAATTATTGCAAATGGATATAAGATAGTATTGGAGGTAAGCATTCTGCATGGAGTTAACTAAAAATCTCATTCAAATTATACTTTAAATACATTCAAACTAGTATGTAAGTGGTGAAAATTTGCAAAATGCAGTTTACATGTTCTGCTTGTGTAAGCAGTAATTCCCAATTAATGTGAATGGGCCCTTAAATGACCCAGTAACCATCAGTACAGAGGAATTAAGTGAAAATCCCATAATTAGGCTCCATTCCACCACCATGCCCCGAAACCCCTATACCTATTGCCAACATTTGAAAAAGCACCTTGCCACACTCAGGTCTGGCTGTGGTCCGGTAAATTATGGAGCATGAACCACAGAACCTATTTCTAGCAGCTGAGAGAAACGTGGTATAAAACTGAATTGTTGGTGGGGATTGCTTGTTTCATTCAGCAAAGTACTAAGTGAATTTAGTGTCCAGATTTCATCCTTATGTAACAGAATTTTAGCAACTGTTTTAACATCCTTTCTCCTGTCTGCACACTTATATAAAAACGAAGCACAAATGCCAAAGCAAATTTGATTTTCACTGTATTGGGACTACTTTTTAAGACAAATTTTTATCCTGAATAAGTAACTTCAATTTATTATTTACAGAAAAAAAACTACATATGAAAGAGATTAATTTCACTGCCTCGAAATCTAGAGGAGGAACAACAGACATTAATGTTCTGCTGAGAGGCTGAAGTTTTATTGAAGACAAATTTCTATTAAATGTATAGTAATATTTTTTCAGAAATATTCTTCCTAAACGTCATATCAAAAATGATTAAATTTTTAGATGTTGATCAAGATTATAATTATAGCCCTTGATATATTTTAAACTATCAATATATTACAGATATGCTTAAGTTATATTGAGTGATATAAGGATATACACATTGTCTGTGGAAAGAAAGGTATGTGCAAACAAAGTGTTTCAATAAGTAATATGGAACATTTATTCTAAAAAAAAAAAACCCAATTTTTTCTTGTCTTACACAATGTGTTGTATGATATTCAATAAAACTCTGGGATGAATGCACCTGTGGTTTGACAAGACAGCATCTTTCATTCTACAGTATATGAATTAAATTCATATACAGTTTCCTTTGGGAGTCAGAAAGCAATTTTTTGTACATTTTAAATTGTAGCATTTATGAATTCTCCCTGCTATTTTAGTGTCAGAATTCAATTTTGATATAAGAATAATATTCAAGTACAAAGCCTGCTAAAGAAAGGTATTTTCTGCTTGGTTGCCTTTAAAAACTGTCCATGCTCCATATACAATTTGAAGTCAACTTCATTATACTCCAGCCAAAACAACTTTGCTTCCCCCGCTCTCCAAATAAAAAAAAAAAAAATCATTTTTGGCAATATCAAGAAAGAAAGTGAAAAAAACAACAAGAAGATAGTAAAATTAGAAATGAATTTATTGGGAGTTCAAGATATATGAAACTTACTGACAATATTCACAGTATTTATGACAGGGTGTTTAATCTTAAACTGGCAAATATTCATATTATTTACTCTGGTATAGCAAATGGTTTTTGGGAGCAATAGCTAACAAATACTACTACCTTCCACACAAACTCTCTCTTTCTCTCCAGGACTACTTATCTGTTCTCACTTAATATAATGAATACAGTATATCTGATAATGATAATTATTACTGTCTTAGCATAGAATACAACCTAAAACACAAATTATTTACTTTATAAGTGCCATATAGAAGTGCCATAAAGTCTTCAGTGTGATAAAAACAGCATATAAGAATTATGAATTCTAAAATAAAAAATAGAATTTAAAACAAGCAAGAAAAATTGAGGGAACAACCCAATTTAGCCCTACTATGGGAATAATTTCTAAGAATGCAAATTAAAAAAACCAGAATAATTATTTTCACAGAGATTATTACATTTACAAAACAGGCTTTACATTTCATAATCTACTCCGTACTACGATATCTTTTTCTTGATTTCCCAATTTATTTATAAACTTGAGCATTTATATATTTGCTTTTGTTGAATATTAAATCAATTGGCATTGCTATTGTAATATAATCAAATTCATAATAATGAATTTGATAATAATATCAAATATTATTAAATTCCTCCTTCCATCTTGCTCGACTTTAAGCTATAAAGTTTAGATTGTTTTCAAAGGAAAGTAATGTAAAGAGCTAATATTAACTGATGTTTAAAATGGATGGTGTAATATTACAACACGCACATTCAAGGAACTTCCTGAATGGAAAAATATTGCATAGATGAAGATGTCTTACCTGTATGCACTGACTGTAAGGACCAATATTGGCAGGAGCCCAATGAGAAATGCTCTGTACATGCATCACCTGCTTCTGGGATGCATCAGAGATCATTTTATCATCCTTTTGGGCAAGGCAGTCCATCTGAAATAGCAGGTCTTCCGTCAATGGAGCTTCAACACAAACCCTAAAATAACAAAAACAAAAACAAATGTACGGCAGCATTTGAATGATATTAAACTGTCCCTGAGTTCTGGTTGCTGTACTCTTAATATCCCTAAGATTTATACCAACAGGGCAGAGATGGAGGATGAGAATGAGCAAGAATTCTTGAGATCCCAGTCAAGAATCTCACTTGGTCCTTGCTACTTCTCCAGTTTCTCTTCAGAGTAATCTCTGCCATCACTGAGAGAAAGAACAGGCAAATGGAGAACTTTGTATTCTTGCTTTGCTTTTGGTACTATTAATAGGTTAAAAGAAAACAAATTAATAGGCAGGGACAATAAGAAGCAGAGCTAGGAGACAGCAGCAGATCACAGATAAGGATGGTAGCCTTGGAAGTTATCAAATGTTGCCCAACCCTGACTGATTCAACCATTAACTTCATTTCACACTCAAGTACTTTTGTGTAGCAAAAACTCACAAAAGATTAAATGTAGATTTATTCCTTCCATTTGTTGAGAAAGGTGATAGTCAAACAAAGTTTCTTACTGGATGAGGATCACAATATCAGCTAATTTCTTCTTCCTCTGCAGCCCTCAGCCTTCTTTGATATTTCTGAGTGTCCTCTAATTCACTAGAGCAGTTTTCACGGAGCACAAAGAGGCACCAAAACAATATGGAATTTGGTAAAATATGCCTATAAAATATCCAACTAGGAATATTGGTCCATGTAACTCTGGACCTTATTTGTTGATTATGAACCTAGTGTTTCCCATTATTATTTCCAGAATCCTTTTCAGTGTGCAATACTTTATTATATGTCTTTATTTCATAGCTAGAAAAGGCCCTGCTAAACTCCATCAACTGAATGTTTTTCTCTGCTCGCTTCTTTTATAATATAGGAGAAACAGTAAAAGAAGAAAACAGTGAAAAAGAAGGACTAAGGCTGATATGGTAGCAGTGTTCCAATATTTGAGGGTCTGCCACAAAGAAGAGGGAATTAATCTATTTTCCAAAGCACCTGAAGGCAGGTCAAGAAGCAATGGATGGAAACTAATCAAGGAGAGAAGCAATTGAGAACTAAGGAAAAATTTTCTGACAGTGAGAACTATGAATCAGTGGAATGACTTGGTTCCAGAAGTTGTGGGTGCTCAAACACAGAAGAGATTGGACAACAATTAGTCTGAAAGGGTGTAGGGTCTTCTAGTCCAACTTCCTTGAGCAAGGGTTTGGACTAGAAGACCTCCAAGGTCCCTTCCAACTCTATTATTCTGTAATTATTATTACTATTAGTATTTTAGGAAGGCCAGAATGGGGATCCATAAAAAGTCCTTCTCAACTGTTCTTTCATAGTTCAAGAGCAGTCCAGAAGATTGTATTGAAGTGTATACTTTCTATAGGTTCAAGCGCTATAAATAGAGACGTAAAACATAAATTCATATTTTTGTGGCTTCTTCTCAATCAATTGTATATTAGGATAACACATAGATTTTGTGTAAAGTATAGGGCATGATATTAGTAAGAAACACACTATTTATCTCAAAGAAATCTACAATGCAATGAGTTTCACAAAGATCCAATTACTAGAAAAGCTATTACTAAGTAAAGAGAAATATATCTTACTAAATGAAATAAGTAATAAAGCCCTCATCTGGAAAAAAATATCCCAAAGAGATTTCTTCTTAAAAAAGATTTTATGTAGCATTAAAAATATTTTAATTGTACAGTCCTTATTTCATTAGCTTTATATATTAAAATGCTTATTAAAAAGGCAGGAATGAAATATATTTAAAGATGATTTTAAATTAAGAGGAATAAGAACACTGCTGTGCTGAATTCCCTCTTAAAATACAAGATGGCAAGTTCAGTAGAACAGTATGCCTAAAAGTATTTTTAAACCATATATTGGCTCTACAAAATAGGGTGCAACATTTGAATGTTTTTTGTAGGTCTACAAAATAGGGTGTAACATTTGAATTTATGAGCTCTTCAGTCACAAAATAAAAGGAAGAATAAAAAGTGGAGATGAAAAATTAGGCTAGGATTTAAATTACAGATCTTGGTAGGAATGAAAAATATAAACTAAAGCCAGCTCATAGTGGCCACAAACGACTCCCACATCCTAAAACTGTTAGTTACCACAGACACAGCTTAAAATACTAACAACCCCCCCCCCGGGTACCCTAATTTTTAAGCCTCTTTCCTGATGAAAACTTCTGGAATCTTCAGGGATTTGAACACCAATTTGTAAATCCAGAATTAGCCCAATAAATGTTTTGTGTTAAAACTGTTCTAGAAAAAGTAGAAAGAACTTTATTCTAAGGAATATAGCCATATTATTGCAGTGATCTTAATTAATTCATCTGCTGCTTTAATGGCATTATTTTCAATATGTTTTCTATTCTGATTTTTTAAGTTGAAAACTGTCTCGTGTATTTGCATAAACTGTGAGGTATAACTCCATAAAGTAAACAATACATTTAAAAAGAACATTGTACAGGGTACTTGCTGTTCAGCAAAAGTAAAAGTTGTGTAAAAGCTATTTGTTAATAACACTGCATTAAAAACTGCAAGGGAAGAGCTTTTCTCATACAATGTTTTTCATATTCAGTTTTTCCCTATTCACAGAAAGTGATATAATGTTAAAGAAGCTGATGTTGAAAAGAAAGCACCTCACTTCCCGTTCATTCTTTAAGAGAACACATTTCTTTAGCATACTGGTTTGGTCTACTGAAGATCAAGAAGGATACACATGAATGAGTTTGTTCAATTTGTTAATGAAATGTCCCTACCATAGCGGAATTATCTGATAATGGCAGGTTATAAGAACAGTCAATTAAAAAAGGAAACCTTTCAATTTTAACAAAATTAGCGAGGCACAAAGAAGAGTATTTATTTATTTGAATTTATATGCCACCCATCTTGCAGTTCAAGTGCTTTCAGAGATAGAAATCTTGGCAGAGAACAAGATGGTTTCCAAGATGGACTTAGCTGTCCCAGTGATAATGTCATTATTTAGAACTATAATCTTTCACTGAGCATTAGCTTTCTACGTTGCTCTTAATTTTCAATCTGCACATCTTATCTTCTCTTCTATAATTGAACATGCCTTCTTTATTAATTTAGCAAATTCTGTGCCTGATGCTTATCATGTCAGTGTCTTCTAAGCTGCTTTACTCTTAACCTTCCTTACTGCATTTGATGGGACAAAAAATAATGGTGCTTTTGCCAAGTTAGAATGGAAAAGAAGCAGGAACACAACAATACAGTATTGCAGGCTAACTCTGTCCACAGAATGGAGTTCAATCCTGATGGGGCTTGAGGTTGACTCAGCATTCCATCCTTCTAACAACAATAAAATGAGGACCCAGATAATTGGGAGCAATATGCTGACACTGCAAATCGTCCAGAGAGTGCTGTAAAACACTATGGGGCAATAAATAAGTCTATAAGCTGTAATTTATAGGGGGATGATAGACCATTTTGCTCACATTTTTTAGAACACATTACTATTAGATCACACTTGTTGGCTAGCTAACTGATAATTAGTTCAGAATTATACTTCAATAAAGTAGATTTGGGGACATAATTCAATGGTGAAAAGCATGGACTCATTATGAAGCAAGATACTGCATTAAAACATCTATATGATGAATCTAGGATAACAGAATACAAATTAGGTTCAGTATCAAAAGATGTTTTTTTAAAAAAATCAGAGACCACATGCACTCCTGATGCAGCTGCTACAATAGAGAATAAAAGATCATGTCTTTGAAGAGAGACATACAAAAAGGTGAAAGGAAGCCCAATCCAAACACAGAGAAACCAAGTCTGAAGAAAAGTCATAAATAAAGTATTAGTAGCAATGAAGTATATTCCAGTGTACCATAAATATAAGGCAGCAGTAGTATGAACCTACCTCGCTGGAGGACACAAATCAAATGCTGTCATATAGACTGAATTTATCACTGCAAAATCGGCCATACTCTTCATATACAGATGGACCAAAATAATATCTGTCAATGCCAATCCTTTTAAATTCATATGAGCTGCATGTGGAAAAATAATGCAGCTGTTAAAGACAGAAAATAATAGATTTATACTAAAGGATACAAAGAATATATCTATTTTTTATTTTTTTTACAAAAAGCTCCCCTTGAACCAAAGCACAACTGAAGCTGAGGAACTTAGAGAAATAGAAACTATTCTGATCAGTACAATTTCTTATATAATACACGGGCAGATTCATTGAATTTACTTCCTAAACCAACTTGATTTTGTTTGATCTTGAACATTAAACTAGTACAAATGTTAAAGAAACAAAGAATTGAAAGACATATTAAATTCCAGTGCAGCTGCCTCAAAACAGGTGAAGCTATCATAGTCTTAATCAAATCTACTTCCTAATGAAATATACAATCTACTAAGCATTTACTAGGAAATCATCAAGTTATCACATGATTTTAATATTTGATTTTGTGTGTATGTGTGTCTATGTGTGTGTATTACTTGCGACTGAAGGTCAACAATGAGGGACACATTTTGCCATATGGCAACATTTCTTTCTCTCCTGCTTAAAGCTTTGTCTTGTGAAATATTTTGCTAATATTTTTTAAAGACGTTTATTGTTTAAAATTTATTCAACAATTATCTTTTGAACAATAGAAATTACACTTTCCACAAAAATGACTCCAGACAATGTGGGGATGTAATTATAATAATAATGTGTTGGATGTAATGATTCCATCGCATAACTCATGAAGGTAGTATTCCCATAATCTTCCATTGATTAAGAGAAGTCTTACTGGTTGACTACTCTTTACATATCAACCTTTCAAAAACCTTTTCCAGAAGACTGAGGTATCCTCCACAAAATGTGGCAGGTTTTGTGGGGACTTCTGAAAAGACAGAAGCAACAGAAACCATTCTCCTCCTTTTAATGTACATTTTCATCAGACTGAAGGCTTTTCAATTTTGAAGGCATTTCTTCAAAGATTAATGAAGGATTAAGGCCTATTATTTCTCAGTCAAGTACTTGAATATTCAAGAGCCATATGTTCCTCATAAAGACTGCTCAGAAAATATAACTATTTCACCTGGCTCATGATAGAATTGGAGAGAAAATTGCTTGTGTCTGTCTACTTGATGGATTACTTTTTTGAATGTTGGAAGAACTTTATGAATAAATCTGCTTTAAAAACTAGAAGGCAGGCTAGCAAGGAACAACTTATAAACTAAACCTTGTAGCCTTAATGTAGAAAGTCAGAACTACAATGTATGTCTTGCAGTTCAGAACTAATTTCCACTTTAGGCCATTAAAACAATTAATTTGTTTTATGTACACTGAGAGCATATGCACCAAGACAAATTCCTTGTGTGTCCAATCACACTTGACCAATAAAAAATTCTATTCTATGCTATTCTAATTTTGCTACAAGGTTTATGTTACCTCCATCTTTATGCCACAGTATGTGGCAAAAAGGAGGAAAGGCAATCAGACAATCTGATTTTTGTAAGGAAGAGTTTTAACACATACCTGAAGAGTCTCAAGTAACTTTTGCAAAGAAACCTGGGGTGATACTTTTAGACTGTTAGCACCATAACTCACCTTTTTTTGAGAAGGCAAACTAAATATCCACAGGAAATGCAAGTATTCCCTGGATCAAAATGCATCAGTTCAGCAGAAATGAGAAAGAATACTTTAGATGTAAATCATTTGCCAAAGCCACCAGGGTTCTTAGCCTCCAGCCAGATAAAACTACTATTTTGGTTTAATTCTAATAAAAAAAAAAATCAGGCAATGATGTATATTATTTGGACTGGCTAGGGTCATGAAAATATTACAAAAATCAAGTAAGTATTTTAGAGCTCCAGTTTTTCAATTTACATATTATGCCCAAAAGATTTATGTAGAACATTGCTCCTTTACCTACAAGCCTGATTACAACCTCTGTGCTGATTTCTCGGCTGTTAGGAACTAGCTTAAGGGCCCTTTAGGAAGCCTGCTGCCTTTTTACCTTGCAAAATTGCTCATGCTTCCTTATCATTCTGTATTCAGTCATGAACTCAGCTGCACAAGCCAAATGTTAAGGTTTTATGAGCCAATACATCAAAAGTATGTGGGTACAAGAATACTAGCCTGCCCACTGCAGCCACTGAGAACAATTTCCATTTTTATGAATGAAAAGGATGCCAGCATAAATATTTATTTATTTAAAACTGCAAAAATACGGAGGGATTCAGAAGAAAATAGAAGCATTTTGTTTTATATCTCAATATCTTGTAAGGGCTTGATAGTAAGAAATCCAGCAACCACAATTCCCAAGGCATCAATTCTTTGCTTGCATTAAGTACATAAATGAGATTTAGAGCTACTGACCTAATCCTAGATGCCAAAATCAACCACAGCAACAGCTTTTTAGAGAAGTTAATTTAAAATTATGATAAAGGCAGTTTAGCTAACAGAAAGCAGACAGAATGGGAATGCACACACAAAAAGATAAAAGGAATGAAAACAAACTCAGCTGCCTTGTATAACCAGATCAAGGGAGAACATAAAAGGAATTCAGTCTAATCACAAAGGTAAAAATGGATGGATTTAGACTGCAAATTTTTGTGACCAAATGTAGCAATTCTTGTATAATAATCATCCAAGCAATAACTGTATGATGGACAATCTAATAATGGACAATCTAATAATCCTCTATCAGTTGGTCTTGGCACTTAGTAGAATATTCAAAATGAAAGTCACCTACTCTTATTTATTTGTCAAATGTATATGTGTATGGCCGTCCATCTCACATACGAGGGACTCTTGGTGATGTACAAGAATAGAACACATTCAATATATAAAACATCATCTACGCACCTTCCGCCGTGCCCTTAAGACCTTTCTATTTCAACAGGCTGGCCTGGCCTAACTTTTCCCCTTTTTAAATTGTAAATTTTAAATTTGTCTTAACCATGGGGGGTGTTTTTAATTTGTCCCGGGCCAAATTATTTAATGTGGTTTTATACTGTCTTTTAAATTTTATAATCTATGTGTTTTATTTTTTGGCTGTTCACCGCCCTGAGTCCTTCGGGAGTAGGACAGTATATAAATCTAATAAAATCAAAATCGAATCAAATTAAATCATTATTACTATTATATTAACATTAACATTGCTGCGTTTCCCCGAAAATAAGACCCTGTCTTATATTTTTTTGAACCCTGAAATAAGTGCTTGGCCTTATTTTCGTGGAGGTCTTATTATTTTGGAGCGTGTGGAGCAAGATGGGGCCCCTTTTGCCATCTTACCTGATTTCCAGCTCCACATTTAAATATTTTTGGGGCGGGCTTATTTTCAGGGGGAGGGGCTTATTTTAGCACATGCGCTCAAAAGCCCAATTGGGCTTATTTTCAGGGATGTCTTATTTTCAGAGAAACAAGGTACTATATCATTAACAATGGAGCTACTTCAATCTCATCAGTCTTCTGGAATCCTTCTACAAAATCAACAGGCAGAGATGGAACCAGCCTCACTTCATGAGTCGGGAGGATGTTCCATAAAGTGGACGCATATAATCTACTTCATCCAAAGTTCACCACAGCTGTCACAAAAACACCTTCTCAAACACCTTGCCCCCAAAAGGGAGGTTAAATACTGAACAAACGTTTTCCAGTATACTGTGGTCCAGTGGTGGCTTGAAGAGGGGACACTCCCAGGCCTCCTTAAGTGGTAAAGGAACAATCTCCTAACTCAAAGAAGAATTCACTACTGCTGGAATCTACTCACACAACACCATCCAGGCCCTATCTCTTTCCTTAGGCCTAACAGGTTCAAGCTGTTCCCATATAATTGGGCAAGATCCTCCCCAGGTATCTCTCCTGGACCTGCAACAAGGCCAGCATCCACGTGTCAGTGAATGTGAATGATTTTTTCTGGCAGAAAATTGTTCCATACTATTGCTCTCCAAGCTCCCTCTTATTCAAAAAGGCACATCTCATCTGAAACAAGGCTGCAAGATGCCTATGAACAGATGCAATAAGGTTGGAGAAATATTGGTGCTTCATCAACCATATTTCATAGCATCTGTAACTCATTTTTGGTTAAATTCATTCCCTGTAAAAAGCTAGGGACACTCTACATAGGTCTTCTCTCATTTTATCTCCCTTAATTCTTCTGTGACAATGGAGAGTGATGAGATCAACAAAAGGAGAAAAATCCCATAGATATAATCTTATCCAGATCTTCAACAGTCCTCTTTTTCCAAATGGTGACCAAAGTTTCAAGTGGACTGTTCAGACCAGCAGGAACAGCCTCTAGATCTCTGTAAAATCCAAGTGGATCCATCAGTCACCAGAGATAGACTTATCTAATGGGTCCAGCCTCCCAGAAATGGATGGCAGCACTTGAGAATCCCATGATAATCAGAACCAAGAGCTCTCCCAGTTTCAAATCACAGTCATTGATCTGACAGGAACACCAGATGTGGTATGTGATCACTGACCCATGTTGGGCTCTGGGTGACCTGTTATAGGCCCATGGCCCTCAGGGTAGCCATGAACTCTTGAACTGCCTTAGGCCTGATTACCAGAGCAGGCAGATTGGAGCCCCCAAAGTATATAAGTCTGGAGAACTCTACTGCCAAACCAGAGATGGAGTCAAGGACTTCAGGCAGGGATGTTTCTATGCATTAGGGAGGATGGTACAACAGAAACAATCCCAACTGGTCCTAGAAACCATCTTATTTAACATCCAGTGAACTGTGATGTGGTGCCCCTAAAAGCCACAAGCAATTCTCAGATGACAATCATGGCATCTCTTTCCTTGCCCTAAGGTCTCAGCTGATGCCAGGCTTAAAACCCACCTGGGAATATCTCCAAAAGGGCTATGCCCCTTTCTGGACCTAGTCCTTACATGCCTTAGTAATACGTGCCAGTCAGCCCTCTCATCAATTATTAAATTGCAGATGACGAATGTTTAAAATAAGAAATGGGATGGCGAAGAACTGCCCAGGCAGCTAACTACTCATGTGGCCTGCCTAAATTCTCAGAAGAAACAAAATACTTTCTACTAGCTGGAGAGCAACAAGAGGAAAAGGAATTGCTTGTTGATATTTCAACTCGAGCAAATCACATAATTTATTCTCCAGAGCATTTTAGCCTTCTTTACTTCATGCAAACTAAAAATGCTTTTAAAATTGCTCTAAATACATTTAATTGATTAAACACACTAATTACTAATTATTAAGCCCTAATTAAAACCTATCTCTTCTACAGTTTATATTACACTTCAAAATGCCAAATAAAACTACCTTGGAGTGAGGAAAGGACATCGTTTGTCAATTCTTGTATGTTTTTTCTTTCCGATGGATGAAAGTATGTGCTGATGCCGGTTATCCACTGGTAACCCTTCAGAGACTTCCCAGAAAATTCAAGAGCTTTATCTATAAAGATTGAAAAATAAGGACATAATGAGAGAGCCAATTTGGTGTAATGATTAAGGCATCAGATTAGAAACCAAAAGATTGTGAATTTTAATCCCATTTTAGCTGGGTGACCATGGGCCATTTTCTCTCTCTGAGCCTTTTAAGGAGCAGGCTATGATATCTAACTTCTAAAACTTTGTCAAAAAACTGGCAAAGACTTGTCCAGGCAGTCATCAGGAGGCATGCGCACGTGCACACACACACACACACACACACAAATAATTTTTCACTTTATTTAGTTTTATCTACCAAAAGACCTAAATACTTGCTCTATGAATCTTCTAAAAGAAAAAGTAGATCATTCAATACATATGCAATAATGTGTAAAACAACTGACAAATGTATGGTTGTACTTAAAAGTCCATTAGAAAGAATGAATATACCCAGGTTTATTGCAAAGATTCTGATTTATTTATATATATCTCCTGATTTATTGCAAAGATTCTTTATCTTTTCCAAAAAAGAGCGTACAAATCATAAATATTGGACCTAGGGTTCTATTCAATGAGTACCCAATGAGTATCCCCAAATGCTCTCAATATTTTCTCGTGAAAAAAACACACAGAGTGTAGCACATTTCTATGACTTTTCTCCCTTCCAGACCCTTAATACCTTTAAATCCCCCAGAAAACAGTCCAGAAAGATAATATTCTTCCCACCAAACTATTAACAGGTTGACCTTTTTTTTTTCCATGATAGAATTTGCTGGATATCACCCACCATTATTTTATAATTTTGCCACTTCTTGAAGTATCATATTATACCAATTATAGGGTATGTATCTCCATATCCCAATGCAAAAACGTGATATAATGGGCAAATGCAGTCTTGGACACTGATGGATACATAACATGGGAAGTAATTTTACAAAACAAAACAAATGTTCCAGTTTTGGATTTGGATTCAGTTATGCCCTAGGCTGAAATGAAAAAGATTCCACTTGTTCAAAGTAGGTCCAGATTGCCTTTTTCATCTGTAGTATTCTATTCAGGCTGGGGATAACCTAACCCTGACTAACAGATTTTGCAGAGGAAGGAACAAAAACATGAAACAGGAAGAAGGGAAGAAGAAAGACTCACTTGAAGCTGATTTGATCTCATCCACAATGCATCACTTCAAACTATGATATATGCTGATCATATTAATGAGTGGAAAGTTGCATGATTAATATAAACTGATAGTTCAAGGAATTAAAAAAAATTGTTTAAATTAAAGACCATAGATTATGATATGCCAAGAAAAAGCTCTGTATAATTCTACTGACTACATGCTATCGAGTTGAAGAAGCTTCTTGGATGAGAAGTGAAACATCTTCAAAAAAAACCCCCAGAAAGTCCAGCTGCCTCTTGAAAAAGCACTTTTGAGACAACCATGACCTGGATGATTGAGCATCTCCATAGACATACATGCTACCTATTTTGGCCTGGATGAATGCATGGATGGAAGATTTTTCTTCTGTGCAGTTCTTCATTTAAATGAATGGGAATTTTCAGAATGGACAGCATGATTTTTTGGGGGAATGTCATTCACACAGATACATAAGTGTCACCATGCTACAGCTCAAATTTAAGGAGGCATGATCCATATCAATCAGAAGATCAATGATGGCTGCTGTAGCTTATTAACTCCAATCAGAAGATATGTATACAATCTTCTGATTGATATGGATCATGCCTCCTTAAATTTGAGCTGTGTACACCATGTATCTGTGAAAATGTATTATGTATACATTTTCTATCCATATCTCTAGTCAATGATGAGAGTAGTGAACATATCTTTAAAGAAAGCAACACACTGACTTATTTATTTGATTTAGGCACCATCCAACTTCTGGAACACCATAAGAGTGGGAGATTTATGAATCTTGGGAGAATCTTACATTCTAATTAAAACAGGACGGAAGTAACAGTAGCAATACAATAGCACTTAGACTTATATACTGCTTCACAGTGCTTTACAGACCTCTCTAAGTGGTTTACAGAGTCAGCATATTGCCCCCAACAATCTGGCTCCTCATTTTACCGACCTCGGAAGGATGGAAGACTGAGTCAGCCTTGAGCCAGGTGCAATTCGAACTGCCAAATTGCAGGCAGTTTGCAGTCAGCAGAAGTAGCCTGTAGTACTGCACTCTAACCACTGTGCCACCGAGGCTCTTAAGTAAGAAATATAAAGAAACATCTACTATAAATCTAATCTAAGGGGTGAACTATACAAAGTTCCTAAGAATATTAAATATTGAATGCTATATTGATGTTAAAATTAGTAAAAATTTTGTCTCCATGAGAAAAATTACAGAAACAAAAATCAGAAAACTGTTACCAACTGTCCATAGTGATTAAGGCAAGTCAAAAACTTACTTTCTTGTGCAAAATGTGGTCTTAAAAACTGCCATGTAATGCAAGGAGTTTCCTTTCTCTCATCTGAAGGTGGACAGGCACTGTCTTCAGTTTCTTTTGTGTCACATGAACATTTCTCAGGCAGAATTTTGCCCCCAAACTGTACCTGATTAAAAGAAACATTGCAACATGGTTTACCTGCAAATTCTAATTCTTGGATAAAAAGCTAATCAGTAACCAAGAGACTAAGTCCCTCCAGTTGTAGCGAGGAATTAAGAAGTTGCTACTTATTACTGAGAATGTGTTTCCAAGCAGAGTCACCAGCATACTTTCTTGGAGATCGATGTGACACACAGACATAAAACTGAATTGCAACCTAAGTGAACAGCACTACGTAATGATTTAATTTACTTAGGACAATTAACAGGGAATCATTATATAGATAAAACAATGCAAATCAATAGTACGCGTGGGAACATTCATCATGTTAATGATAATGGAGACAAGAAAGTGCTTTAAATGCAACCTTAAACTTTCAACAATATATATCTATTTAACTTTAAAAAAAACAAGAAGTTTTCAAAGTGAATTCAACAAGTTCCTGCCACTGTCTGCTGCCCTCTTCTGGTGTGGATCAGGTATTTCTCTCTCCATTTTTCTGCTAGAAAAGCAATTTCAGTTTATTACTAGTACTATGTATTAGTATTTTACTCACAAAAAGCATTTAACATAATCCACAGCATTAGCAGACAAAAGACACAACACTGGAAAGCTTCTGGTGAGCTACGTATTGTCTGCCAGAGGCCATTTCCTGAATTGCAACCTAAGTGAAAGTATACTATCTTGTCTGATCCACAAAAACACATTCATAGTATAACACAAATTAACATTCTTGTAACAAAAACCAGCTTCAATATTCACTTTACTTTGAAATGATATGTACTCTACAGATGTTCTGTATGAGGAAAAGCAGTGGACATTAGCATATTCAAAAGCCCACAGTACTATATATTTGTCCATAAGGAAAAAAAAGATTTTTTTAAAAAATCACTGTTTTCTGATCCCAATCTGGATTTAGAAGACAAATTGGAGCAAACACTGACATATACCAAAGACTAATAATATATAACTGTTTTGGGTTTTTTTGAGAATTTTAGTATAAAAAGGGAATGGACATTTGTCTGGAATCGGATAGGTTGTCATTTTTATTAGGACTTTATATATTTTATTTATTCTGCTTTATTCAGGTTTTATGTTCTATTTTGTTAAACACTGGGAGCCTACTATACAGTAATAGGCAAATCGGTAAATAAAAATGAATTCATATTCCTGAAACTAGCATCCCATTTATTTATTTTTTTAAAAAATGTGTTTCAGAGTAAAACAATTACTATCTGAGGAAGGCTAATATATTCACCCATTAGCTCTGTAACATGGTCAATTATTCAAATTCAATAAAATAACTCTTGTTTCATTTAGACATCATCTGGCTATGAGATACTTGGCTAGTATTACTAGTAAGGAGTAGTTAAAGTATAGTATAGTAAAGTATAAAGTAAAGCATAGGTAATCATTCATGGGAACATTTGTTACAGCCAATTTGGTGTAGTGCCTATATTTATTTATTAATATTTTATTTATAAAATTTATATGTTGTTTATTTCACAGTTCAAGTATACTTGGAGCAGCTTACAATATAATAAATATGTTATACTGTTTTTAAATGGATATAAAAACAATTATAACTATAAAAACAGATTAAAATTACAAAATTAAAAAACATATTTTTTTAAAAAATTGTTGGACTAGGACTGGGAAAACAGAAATCTAGAAAGCAAAATTTTTAATAAAGCTTTTTTATAATAACATCATACAAGCAAATATAACTGTTGAGATTTTGTTCTTAGGGCTGAGAAAATTGCAATGTTTCTTTCATAAAGGGTTTAAACATTAATTTGATCCAGGCTTACATAGATATACCTGCTCAATAGTACAGAAGGCACATCCATGCATTGGCAACTCCCAACATTTTACAACGGTTTCCTATTTGACTTGTCCAATTCCACATATTTTCCTTTACCCAAATCTTTGACACATAATTCAAAATGTCAGTGATAACGCATGGTTTACTATTCTTTTAGGAATCCTACTTTGGATCACTAAAACACGAAGAGAATCAGGGTGAGGGGAAGCCATAAAATAAATGTAGTTTGCCACTTATTTTCCTTCTTTTATCCAGAAACACAGAGAATGACTAAAGGACCTTTCTTAATTTTCAGGCCTGTTCCATCAAAACAGAAAAAGTTGGTCAACATATAATCAGGGATGGTTGCGAGATAGTTCATGACTGAACCCCTGTAAACTTGCTACTTGTCTCACATTTCACTCATGGTTTAAAAAAAAAAAAGCAAGGATAATTAGCAGCCTCAATTTTTGTTTGGAGATTTTCATTTCTGAATACAAGAAACATGCTCTTACAAATATCTAAAAGTGATGGCAATTCTCTGATTGGAACAGAACATAAAAGTCTAAAGTTGGATGGAAACAGGTCTGCTAATTTCTTTTTGTTTTCTGAAGTGTAATCTTTCTCATTAAAACAATGTTTGTGGGAGACAATGCACATTTGTGAGTGCGTTCACATAAAGGATTGGAAGAACACTTATTTTATGAATAGGTAACAGCTACACATATATACTGTAATTCATACAAAAAGAAACAGAAATGGAAGAGGAACTATTGAATATATGAAGCTAAATTTCTTAAATAGAGAAATAATGGATATATTTTTATCCCTTCTTCACAAAAATCTATGATGTTGTTGATAAATATTTTAAAGACAAAGTGAGGGAAAAATCAATTACACATTAATGAAAGATAAAAGATCTAACTGGCACACAAATACACTTTTGTTGTCTACAAATATTTTTCCAACAATGGATTTCTTGTGCAAATAGAAATGGAAACATGCAACCCACCAAAATTTCACTGGTGATCAATAGCTTCTACTATTCTACTAGGGCTACATTTCTGTACTGCCCAACAACTCCCAAAGACAATGACTGAATTCAAAATGGGAAGGGTTTATGAGCCAGTACTCTTTTAAACTACCTTCTAAAAATAGTAACGATAATCTTTCTCACTTTCTTTTATGTTTTACATTTTTAAACTACTTTGATCCAATGGAGATTAACAGAAGATTTTGTGTTCTAAGAAGCTGGATAGGAATTATTTGTTTAAAAAAGCAATGAATAAAATCTTACCTATCAGATTCTGATCATCTTATACGTAAGATCTGATCTTGTTTGCTAGGCACATTTTCTCATTAAAGTAATCAGTGATTTTATTTATAAGAAATATTTGCTTTCCCCCCCTGTACAAAAATAAATGTTTTGTGACTAAATAACATTATTCGCTTCCAATACGAAAAAATTTAAGCAGAGCATAATCTCTCTCTCTCTCTCTCTCTCTTTCTCTCTCTCTCTCTCTCTCTCTCTCTCTCTCTCTCTCTCTCTCTCTCTCTCTCACACACACACACACACACACACACCATGCCTAATGATCAATCTGGTCATTTTTCTTACAATGCAAACATCAGAACCAATTTCTTAATTTCCCATATTTTGAGTTCTAATTCCAGTTCTCTAGTTCTGTTCTTCACCAGAGATATTATATTCTGGAGCATATCCAAGTAATCATCAAAGAAAGATTTGTGAAATGGGGAAGGGGATGGATAAGGACCACACTGATGAATTAAAATTAACTGCAGGCCCCACAGAAAAGCAAGCAATAGCACTTAGACTTACCATATTTTTCGCACTATAAGATGCACCTGACCATAAGACACACCTAGGTTTAGAGAAGGAAAACAAGAAAAAAAATATCAGGCGGAGCCTAAGAGGACCACAGATAGGTGTTCTCTTATGTGCCAGTTTTGCCTATTGACTCCTGCACTGCAGAAAAGAGAAAGAGGTGGGGTTCAGCACTGTAAAAGGACCCTGCCGTGGCGGCCCAGCTGTTATTCACCAAAGGACCGGCACTGGTCCACCACTGGGAACCCCTGAGGTAATATACTTCACAGTCTGTGATTCAATATTCACTCCATAAGACGCACAGACATTTCCACCCACTTTTGGAGGGTAGGATAGTGTGTTTTATAGAACGAAAAATACGGTATAAACAGCTTCATAGTGCTTTACAGCCCTCCCTATGCGGTTTACGGAGTCAGCATATTGCTGCCAACAATCTGGGTCCTCATTTTACTGACTTGGAAGGATGGAAGGCTGAGTCAACCTTGACTGGGTCAGGATCGAACTGCTGGCAGTCGGCAATACTGCATTCTAATAGTAATGGAGCTGGTGGTATTGATGAAGACTGGAGGAACTATAGGATCTTGGCAGCCAATTTTTGGGGCTGCAGCAGTAGATCCTTCCTGCTTCCTTCACCAGCAGTGGATATGCCGAGCTTTTTTAAAAAAATGCCAGCAAGGCTGCATGGTATCCACATGGAGCCCATAGGTTTTTGGTTGTGGAGGCCTGGTTTAGATGCTCTTGCTGTTTCTGAAGAACCACAGTAGTTAGTGATTTGGGAAGAAGTAACTGTGTTTCCTAACCCAGTAATCCATTTTTAAAGAAACTGATGAAATCAAAGTTACATATAGGCCTCCTATAGCATAATAAGTTAAAATGCCTTGTTCAGTGTAGGGTCACTTTGGAGAAGATGAAATTATTTTCCTGTGATCTTAAAATGAAGCTAATACATCAAAACATTTTATTTCATGTATATTAGACACCTTAGTAAATGTTTAATAAGGGATAGTTACAATCATCTTGCTGCTGGAGGTGCAACTCAGGAGTTCAAACATTAACTCACATGGTTTGGGCCTACAGTACGTTAAATATGCAAATCTTCTTCTTGGCTGTATTTCTAGGCTTTGGAATCTATCAAGATAGAAAAAGCTGAAGATTTCTTAGGACTTGCAGTTAATAAAAAGAATGATCATACATCAACAAAAGGAGAATTATACAACTGATTTGCAGTTGTGAATATGTAAAGCCACCCAAAGTTACTTCAACAGTGAGATGGGCAGCATTTGAATTTATGTAGTCTGGCAGAAGAGTATGAAGAATAAGGAAGGAAGCAATATAGATTTTGAGAGAGTATGAGTAA